GATTCTCCACATAGCCACTGATGAGGGAGGTTTTGATAGAATAAAAATCCCTTGTCTCTCAGGAGTTCTCCCTGACACACTCCCTAGCTCCCTTACAAAACAGGCTGTTTATCAAATTATACTTTATCACAAAAGTTTGATTACAATTTTGGTGTTTATATAGTATTACTTGTGACACTCAATTAAATTGTGTTTTAAATTAATTAATTAACATCTTATAAGTCCATGTTTTGCCTCTTTCATTTTGATTATCCTTTGAATGCAGTGAGTTTACCTCATATTTCTTTTTATTCTGCTCAACACAGATGATCATTACGTGTTTGATTAGATCTCACATTAAAACCTAAATGTGATTTATTTTTCTACCCTCTATATTTATTGGCCAGGTTTCTCAAAAATTAAACTAAGTTTTATAAAGAAATATGCAGAGATTAAGCACTTTTACTAGAAGCGTTAATGGATATAAAAATTTTGAAGTAATAATTCCCTGTTATTTTATAGATGATTCAAAAGAGAATCTTAATTTATTTCAATTTTTACATAAATTGGTTCCGATTTTGAAATTACCCATTGGCGTAATCCTTTGGAGAAGAATTTAATATAATATCTTCCAGTTTGTAAGCAGTTCAGAAAATATATTCAAGAAAATAATCAGATAATTCAGTTTATTTCTTCAAATTAACATTTCACTACTAAACTGCCACATTAACTGACTAATTTTCAATTAGAAGAGCATATTTTTAATTTGATAAATAAGAAAGTAAGTTTCACTAACATGTTCTATTTAATACTAACACAATACACAAATAGAAAGACAAGATGGAGGGGATACGTATTCATTGACCTTTGGTATTATAATGAAACATATATTAATTGGATTATTTTTAATAACACAATACTGAAAATGCATTATATAGATTTTTAAATATCGATAATAAGAAAAAGATAAAAGAACCATGTGTTTGCAGAGCCTCTGTTTATTAGAAAACTTTTTTTGTTCTGTGATGGTATTTTAATCTAAAATTCAGAAAAACTACATGCCAAGATGTTCAGAGCAGTCTTACATATAATAATTTAATTGACCAAAGCCTAAATGTTAGCTATGATATGAAATGTTTAGAAAATTATTTAACATGGATGGAATGGTATATAATCTGAAACAAAAGATGTTAATAATATTCTAACATTGAAAATACTTATGATTAGCATTATACTAGTAGGATAATCTTCCTGAATATTCATGGGAACTCTTTTCAGAATTACCAGACTAGAGCAGCATTCCAGAAACTCCTATGGATTAATAAACTGAGAAATGATTTGTGCAGGTGCCCTTCCTATGCTGTCATTGTAGGAAAGCTTTGTTCTATACATTCCTAGAGTAAGCAAGAAGAATGCAGAATGCTCTCTCATTATATGATCAAAGTCAAGATTATTAGTTCCCATTGCATAAGGTAAAAATATTGAGAAAGAGAAAAATTATCAAACAGACCATAAGGAAAGTAACAAAAATTAGATAAATTCTAACTACAGTTCAGAGTCAAAAGTTTGACCCTCTTTTCATTCTCTCACCCCCCAAGACCTCTGCGAGGCAGCAGAAATCAGGAGGTGGAGAAGCTTTGGCATTCATTGAGCAGACAGAGTGTAAAATTGGCAAAATGCAAAAGAGTTCTCTAAATATCGTTACTTCTGTATTGAGGAGTAGCCTATTCTGTGAAATGCAAGAGATAGGGAGGAAAGAGAATTGAGGTTGGGAGAGGGTTCCTATAAAGGAGATAGCTATGGGTTTTGGAAAATGAAGGAGAGAAAGGACAAATGTCAGAGAATAAAAGTAGTACAGAGAACAGTGGAATGCTTTTTCACTTGCTGCCTTGACACTTTTGCTTTTTGGTGTTAAGACTGATGGCCAAGACCAGAGGCCAGATGTTTATTGACTCTGGGTGACACAAATAACTTGGAAGTTTCTTTTGAAAAAAATCAAAATTTCCATGAAATTTACTTCTACAATGTTTAGAATCCTGTCTCCTCACTTAATGCTTTGGTAGTGAGGTCTCCTGTGTTATACCAGGTAACCAGATTAGAGTATAATACTTGATCCACCAACCCACCCTCATGCTGCCCCACCCTATCTCCAAGGGGCGTTAACAATCACTACTTAAACCCCTTCTTTCAGACAGATGCTGGTGAGGAATTATCTGGTCTGTGGAGAAGAATCGTTCCCTTTCTCCACGGTTGTTGATAGATATTGACCATCTCCTTAGAGATGGTTAAGGATAACCATCTGTGAAAAGCTGTGGACCCCCAAGTGTTGAGAAGTCAGGACAAACTCACAGCAACTACAGTAAACTCAACATTTCTAAATGTCTTTTTACCACTCCTCCATATCCCAGAATAGCGAAAAATAACCCTCAGGGACAAAAGAGGTGAGGGAACACATGCACTGAAAATACCAACAAAAACAAAATTCATGCTATGTTGAACAACATCATGTTATAATTAAATAGCAAAATGTTTACTTATAAGCATATTGTTGTTTGTTAGTTTGTTTTTTATGAGACAGGGTTTCATTCTGTTGCCCATGCTGGAGTGCAGCGGCGTGATCTTGGCTCACTGCAACATCCACCTCCCAGGTTAAAGCAATTTTCCTGCCTCAGCCTCCTGAGTAGCTGGAACTACAGGCGAGCACCAACATGCCCGGCTAATTTTTATATTTTCAGTAGAGACATGATTTCACCGTGTTAGCCAGTCTAGTCTCAAACTTCTGACATCAAGTGATCCGCCTGCCTTGGCCTCCCAAAGTGCTGGGATGACAGGCATGAGCCACTGCACTCAGCTTACTTATAAGCATATTATGTCTTCCCATATAATTCAGATATTTTCACACCCTTTTTGAATCAATGTACAATTCCCTCTTTCCTTTTGTGTAGTGTCAGACATGTCAGTCTCAGGGTCCATGCCGCTATGGAAACAGTAAGAGAGGGGCTAGAACAGGGAAGTCTTAATAGAATATGCATGTATCTTTGTTGGCTTATATAGAAAAGTGGTTAATCATGTCATGCCCCCTTAATTCCTCCTGAGTCTACAGTTTGGAGAATAGAAACACAATGACACAATTCAATGTGGCTTTCTAGCTAGTGAACTGCTACCTTCTCCTCTTAATTTCTCACTTAAGCCAGCAAGTGAACTGCTACCTTCTCCTCTTATTTTTTCATGCCAGATAAGGAGGATAAGATGAATGGGGCAGAATTACGGGGAATGCTTTGTAGAACTTTTTTGTAAGAATGGAATGCTCTATATGTTGAAGTGAGCAAGAAGACAAAAAAAATTTTTGAAAAAAAAAAAAAGGCTCTATTTACATATTATTTTTTAATTCTTTACCTAGGACAAAAAAGACTAGAAGGAAATACTTTCAAATAACACAGAATTCCTTTGGGTTTCATAACTCTTTTTATTTTCTTTTCACTGTTCTGTTTGCTCTAAATTCCCTTTCATGACAAGTATTGGTAAAACTTTTAATATATTTGATAACATTTTAAAAATACTTGTTTAAGAACCAATGCTCATGGTGATTTCAATAGATTTTAAAATCAGTATTTTTAAAATGTTCTCTTTTCTTAAAAAGTAATATAATTTTTATCTCAATTTTACACACTTTTCCTAAGAAAATGAGAAGAATTTTGCCTCTTGGAATAAACGCCTTTATAGTTGAAGGTGGGCACCTATGAGTGTAATATACTGCATTTCTTTTAGCATACTTGTTCTACTTAGGCCCAACATTAGAAAGACCCCAGAGACCCTCTGGAACGGAGCTTTTTAGATGCTGTAGATCTACTTCCCCAGAGAACAGAAAGAATTAACATGCACCCAGCAGTATCCAGAGCAGTGATTTCAGCACTATGTCTTCATTGTGCAACATTCAGGAGGTGGAAATTATTTTAAATCATTTTGTATAATTTTTAGAAAACTGTCAAAACAGAAAGTATTAATGCAAAATCTAGGAAGGCATTTTTAAGCAGAGTCGTAGAGGGAGCATCCTAAAACTAAACAATCACTGAGAGATAAATATACAAATGGACAATGGCTAGACCACATGTAAAAGTAGAATGCTGACTAACAGCCTGAAGCAACCTGCCCAGGAAATCAACTCTTTATCTATGATAAGCAGCCCAAGAAGCCAGCCTAATATAAATCACACTTGTAGAAAGTCAGACTCCTATCTCTAGTAACAATCCAAGAAGCTTAATAATAACTTCTATAACAATCAGTACAAAATGGCGAGGACTTGGTTAACGTGACAGCTTCCCTTATTTTTGCACCCATTTCTAACTTAAGACCAACTAGACAAAGCCAAATATACACCCCTAACCAATCACATAGGATGTCCCACTTCTAGTAGCCTGCCTACAGCTTCCCCATGCCAACAACCTTCAGTCAGAACATACCTGAAACCTTCCCTTTTTTCCTCTATGGAGCTTTCCTACCCTTCTGATTGCCTTTGAGTCTTTGCTAAAATGCAAGCAATGGTAGCTGACTCCCTTGCTATAACAACCTCTGAATAAACAGTCTCTGCTTTTGGTTTGTCTTCATATATTTCCACACCATGGAAGAAGAGAGAAAATCCCATGACCAACTTGTAGAAGAATTCATTGAAAGGCACAGGAATTTAGTGATTGCAAACGGTGTACATGAAATTTACACCTACATATGACATATAAAGTAATAAACACAGGTACACTTTATAAAGCACTCCTTGAGGAATCACTACAGCATCTCTTTTTAAAATGCATTCTCACATACAGTGATCTTCAAGCATTTTTAATCCAGTATGCCATCAATAAATGTTTAGCAAGCATTCCAGAAATATACTTATTTATACATCTTATATATGTAGCAAATTTAGAAAATTTAAAAGATGAAATAAAGCGTGCGTTAGTTCACTTGTGTGTTGCTATAAATACCTGAAGCTGTGTAATTCATAAAGAAGAGAGATTTATTTGGCTCACCATTCTGCAGGCGGTACAAGAAGCATGGCACCTGCATCTGCTTCTCATGAGGGTTTCAGGCTGCTTCCCTTCATGACAGAAAGCAAACAGGAGCAGGCCTGTGCAGAGATCACACAGCAAGAAAGAGGAAGCGAGAGAAGGGGGAGGTGTGGGGCTCTTTTTAACAACCAGCTCTCTGGGGAATTAATAGAGCAAGAACTTACTCATCAACCTCAAGGACAGCACCAAGCCATTAGTGAAAGATCCACCCTTTTGACCCAAACACATCACATTAGGCCCCACCTACAACACTGGGGATCAAATTTCAACATGAGATTTGGAGGACTGAAACACAGCAAACTATAGCAAAGTTAAATGAAACTACTTATAAACATTCTGCAAATCACAATTACTTCATACTATCAGTAGCTAATAATTTTGTTATGGGTATAAATTCACGTCAGAAGGTCTTCTTGATAATTTTCGAGCTTTATGTCCAAGAATTAGATAATTAGATTGTCATTGCTTTTACTTCTGAGGTGACTAATTATGAACTCATATTGTAGGGAGTGGTATAAATGTCAGCTCTGTCTTTTTTTTTTTTTTTTTCCTGAAGCTTGCTTGTTGCTTACATCATATCAATATATTTTATCTTTGGTATCTTTGCAAGAATCTTTTAGTCCACTTGCCATCTAAAGGTTGAGGTGGACACAAGATAACATTTTCTATAAAACCACATAAGTCCAAGAGAAGTGGCTCATACCTACAATCCCAGCATTTTGGAAGTCCAAAGTGGAAGGATGGCTTGAGCCTAGGAGTTCAAGACCAGCCTGGACAAGATGGCAAGACCCCATCTCTACAAAATTAAAAAAAGAAAAAAATTAGCCAACCATGGTGGCACACGCTGAAGCAAGAGGATCACTTGAGCGCAGGAGTTTGAGACTGCAGGGAGCTATGATTGCACCACTGCTGCCTAGCCTGGGCAACTGAGTGAGACCCCCCATTTCTAAAAATTAATTACTTACTTTTAAAAAATAGAACCACTTCACAGATTGGCTATAAAAGGTTGCAAGGTGCTGAAAGCAAGCAAATTATCAACTGTCCATCAACATTCCCTCTTTTGTGGAACACTGAAATAAACATATCCAAGCCAACCAATAAATTCAATTTCAATAAATTTAGTTTATTTCTCATTTTGGATAATATATTAATAGAAGAGTAAGAGCTAAAGAGAAGTACTATTGTTTTTCTCCCATATCTCAATAGATCCCTCTGTGGAGACATGCTTTGGAGACTAGGCAATCTTCCATATTATTTCCCTGTTGATAAACTAACACAGTTTTATTTTTTTCCTTTTTTTGCAAATAAGAGTGAGAAGGGGCCGGGCATGGTGGTTCACGCCTGTAATCCCAGCACTTTGGGAGGCCAAGGTAGGCCGATAACAAGGTCAGGAGATCAAGACCATCCTGGCCAGCATGGTGAAACCCCATCTCTACTAAAATACAAAAAATTAGCTGGGTGTGATGGCAAGCACATGTAATCCTAGCTACTCAGGAGGTTGAGGCAGGAGAATCACTTGAACCTGGGAGGCAAATGTTGCAGTGAGCCAAGATCACACACTGCACTCCAGCCAGGCCACAGAGCAAGACTCCTTCTCAAAAAGAAACAAAAAAGAGTGAGAAGGAAATGAGGTGAAGAATGTGCCTACATTTTCTTTGCTTAAATTCACATCAGATAGGAATTATGCATAACCCTTTTCAACTATTGACCTTCTGAGCTAAAGTGGGGAGGGGTCGATTTAAAGAATAAAACCATAGAGCTGGTGCCCTGAAATATGTGTTACTCGAATTTCCCTCCTTTCTTTCTTTGAAAATTGGCAGCTCCAGAGTTCAATGCATTTAGATATTTAGTTCATGTTAAATCAGCACAATTATCTTATAAAAATTATGCATCACAAGTAGTTTGGTAAACACATTAGCTAATTCTTATATTACCCAAGGGGTGGCATATCAACCAGATGTGCTGATATATCTAAGTTCCAAGTGCAGACTGTCACTTACCTGCATTTTTAGTAGCCAAGTTTGCAATTTTCTTCATTATTCATTAGTGCTCTAAACTCTCCTTCATTATTTCTTTTCATAGTTACAGAATTTAAACCCTAGAAGCTCCAGCATTTTCGAGTCGTTCATGTTATGCCCATGTCTCCTAATTATAGAACTTTTTAAAACCTTTTATCTATTTCTTCCCTGATATATTTACAAAAGTCCTGTTATTATTATCTCTCTCTGCTAACAAACTCCATTTGCGTTTTGGCTATTATCTTTTCCTTGTCAGTCATAACTAATGGGGCAGAATCTTGTTTAATTTTTTTCCATCTATTCTATTCCTGTCATGCATTTATTTCCCCCTACATATAGATCTTAAAATAAGTCAAAGGAACCAGTTCATTTAAAAATTATTTGAATGCTTCCTACAGCACACAGACTTTCATTTTGGTATCAGTGCAGATTTTTATCTCATTCTTATTTTCCCAACTGGATCTTTCTCTTACTGTAGAATACGAGGAAACTCTTTAAAATAATCTTTCTTAAAATCTGATACTCAATGATATAATTGGTGAAACCAATCTGTGATAGCTACCTTTGAGTTAGCCATGGTAACTGGGAAACATTGGTCTGTCCTAATTAAGGGAAAGCTCTCAAAAGAAGCTGAAATTCAGGTACAGCATAGTTCCTTTTTTTTTTTTTTTTAAGATGGCGTCTCGCACTGTCACTCAGGCTGGACTGCAATGGTGCGATCTCAGCTCACTGCAACCTCTGCCTCTTGGGTTCAAGCAATTCTCCAGCCTCAGGCTCCCAAGTAGCTGGCATTACAGGCATCTGCTACCACATCCAGCTAATTTTTTGTATTTTTAGGAGAGACAGGGTTTCACCATGTTGTCCAGGCTGGTCTTGAACTCCTGACCTTGTGATCCGCCTGCCTTGGCCTCTCAAAGTGCTGGGATTACAGGCATGAGGCACCATGCCCGGCCTAGCATAGCTCTTTATCGTCCACCAAATTTGCACTAATATTCACATAAATATCTGCATTCAAGAGATATCATTCCAGATGTGTTCACCTATTTTCCAGTGGGCATGCTAATAAACATTCAATTAAGTTTAAAAAAAAAAAAAAAAAGGTCAAAAACAATAGCTGAAAAGGAAGTATGGACCGGACCACTGACACCAATTCTTAAAATCAGTTACTTCCGGGAAAGAGTGTGTGATTGATGAGTAAAAGGGAAGATAAAAGAGGATGTTTAATTTCTATTGTATCCCCTTCTACAACAATGTACCATTTTACAATAAGCATGTATTTTCTATAATTTAAAATAATGTAAAGAAAAAGAAGGGGGTATATGAAAAATAATTACCTGTTTAAGTTAATTGCTTATATAAACAACAACATTAGAATACATTATCAGTAACTTCCAACCAAGTATATACAATTGCTTGGCCAGCCACCATCCTCTTTAAGGTAGTAGGACCGAGAAGACAGCAAGGCACCATGAGCAGTTTGAAACACTTGGAACTGAGGTTGAGATTGGGTTTAGAAAAAAGCAAGCTAAAATAATAACCACAATGTACCTGTGCCAAATGTTTGCGACTTGGATATTTTGCTAAAGGCCAACCCTGTTGGAGACTTGCTGCTATATATGCTTCCTCACAGTCGCCAGTCACCCAAATAGACATGTCGTTTCCTAGACTTCCTCTCTGCCTCAGAGGAGACAGGCACATATTTGGATCAAGCCTGGTGGGAGATGTGCTATTGCTGGTGTCAGTGAGACTCTGCACATTCCAGGAATTAAGACAGGATGTGCATAGTTCCTCTGTAAGTGCTTCATGGGCAATCGGTATAATCACCAATATCACAGAAGGAATTTTTTTTCTTATTTTTCCCCAAATGCGACTATTCTCTCTTCTGGAAAAAAAAATTTACAAAGTAAATTCAGGTGGAAGAGACAATGGCAGAGGTGATGGTGAGGAGAGACTCCCCTGTTGATGGTTGAGTTTTTGGGAAATGTTCTCAAATCATACTTGGCCACAGTCCCCAGACAAAATCCTTTGTTGTACCCATCTCTCAGCAAGGTAAAATCATGAGAACAAAGCCTAAGTCAGAAGCACAGTGGAGCAAAGAGGGACACATCTCCTGTTTCACTCAGAAAAATTAAGTTCTGGCAATTCCTTAAATTCATCCTAAAAATGACATCTTCATTTTGATTGAGTGACAATTAACATGTTATGATTTTAAGCAGAAATTTATGTATATGCTCCCAGCAGTCAATTCTTCAGGGTAAAGCATTTGAGAATAAAAAATGTGCATTGCAGCCCCTTGCTCCTCACTAATACTGTTGCTAAGCTTGGCAGAAAGAAATATGCCTTAATGTTCTTAAGTAACAATGGGGAAATTACACAGAGAAGCATCAGGAGAAAATGATGGGGAAAGTGTTGGGCTACCCTGATGGAATAATACAGAAACAGAAACAATGTCATCCAAGCCACAATCAAAATCTCCTATCCATTGAGTTACCTGAGAAAGGGACACTCATGAATAAGACAGTATTTAAAGCAAGAGAGTCTCTAGGAGTTGGAAGGTGGCAACATTTGATGATGATCATTTGAGCTGAGATCACTCGAAGAGTAAAACTATCTGCCCAATGGAGTCTAAACATGAAGTTAAAAACAGCCACAGCCTGGGCAAGTACGTGCCTTCATTCTCTCTTTTAGTAAATCAGTCAGGCAACATACACCACACCAAGCATCTAAATTCTGACAAATAAACTGTAAGATAGGTTTGGTATCCCCAACTGAAAGACAAGAAAAATAAAACCAGAGAAGTTAAAGAACAGCTGTAACTCGTTTCTCAGATGGGACAAGCTCAAGAAAGACCACCTTAAATACCATCAGCTTCTCATTCCCTGTTCCTTGACAATACCTGAGGAAGATTCTACGGGTTTTTGGTCATTTTTAGGAATTGAAAAAATTTCATTTCCAGGTATTGAAAAGTCCAGTCCAGTCCAAATCAAAACTTCAATCTCTTTAGCAATTAAGAACTTCTCCCATCCTCCACCCCTAATCTGAAGCCACAGTTTCT